AAAAAAAAAAAAAAAAAAAAGGGAGGAAGAGAGAATGAGTGAGTGTGTGCACCTGTGCGCTCTGTAACAGGTTATGTTGTTTCAGAGCACGGGGACTGTATCCAATTACTTGGGACCAGAAGTTTCCTTTCTGGAACCCAGTGGTTTAAACAATAAGGAAAGTTTAATTACTTCGCAAAACAGGAAGTCCCGGAAGTGAGGAAAACTTGCACGGGGGCTCTTCAGCAGTGGGTGCACCTGGAGTCTCTGTAGCCAGATCTTCATCATAACCTTTTGCTTAACCCATCACAGCTAGGAGAACGGGATTGAAAACACCCGGTTGCTAATGAAGATTCAACCCCTGGGGCTGGGGAGGGTCCCAGGCTTTCAGGAAGCAGATGGCCTTCGGTGCTGGATAAAATCGGAGTTCTGGAAGAGCGACGTGTAGGCAACTGGCGACGTCTGACTGGGGCGATGAGTGAGCGCTACCCCGTTCAGGAAGTTGGCGACAGCTTGTGAGAGCACGGCCTCGAGCCAAGCTCGCGGAGATGCACGGGGACTCTGCCGCTTGCTCATTGAATTTGTCCCCGAAACCAAGCTCTTGCTACCGAAATAGCACCATTCGACAGCTCTCCTTCCAGCCTCGCCACACGCTGCCTGCAACCTCTCACCGAGCAGAGCGAGCGGCAGGTTGGAAGCTTCGCGTGAGCATCGTGTTGATGCATCCTGCAACCAGCGTCGCGCCGAACCCGGAGTCCTCACGGCATCCGTGTCTTCCTGTTCAATCCTCAACGTTATAGAATCCGGACTGTTGCACGTAGAAATGACGGATCTAGCACCACGGGATTGCACTACCTCGTGTGTCTAGGTACTTCACGATGCTAAATCCTGCGAGATGGGAAAATCCGGAAATGGACTTACGCCAGCATTTAGATGTGCGTGGGCACTGCGCTCGCCTGCAGCTGAGAACACGCAGCACCCGCGACAGACTGTGAGTGATCGGCCACTGTCGCGTTGCCCGATGCCCCGTTCCTTGACGTAACCACGTTTTTCCATTTTCTGCATACGTTTTCTTCATTTCATATGCACATGTTTTAGAATGAGTGTCCGGTACCTGCTCTTTCGTATGTGCCTAAAGGAACACCTTTAAAAAATACGATGACCTGTGAAACCAGCACACTCGTTCTCGTCTACACCAAAAATAATTAGGCGATTTTGGCACGTGTGAGGCAAGCCGAGCTGTCACCAGTTGGCTAGCCACGATGTCATGACCCTGACTCTGTTTTATGGTAGAATCCCACGGTTTTCAGAAACTTAAATGTGCTTCATCTTCTTGAAGGTCATCCCGAAGACACTGACCTGATTCTGAACTACTCAGGCGTGGTGTATTTTAGTCTCTATGCTTTGTGGGCAGCTGTTTTCTGCATCAATCCATTTTTCTCCTAAGTTCATTTCCTATTTATATGTTTTAGAATTTTGAATGCATTTTTAACACAAAGCATTTTTAAACTAGTATCGTTTGTTCTTCAGAGACGCATTTTGCCACAGGGTACTGTGTGGTAGCTCACTTACGATGAGACTTGAGAGGTTGCATTCCCTTCACCCTGACTGATCAGGGCAGCGGCTGCCGAAGGCTGGGGCGGCTGTGGCAATTTCTTAAAATACGACAGCAATGAAGTTTGCTGCACCGGTTGCCCCTTCCGTTCATGAAAGCTTCCTCTGTAGCATGTGATGCTGTTTGGTGACCTTCTACTCACAACAGAACTTCTTTCCCAGTTGGAGTCAACCCTCTCCAGCCCTGCCACCGCTTCAGCAACCAAGTATACGGAACATTCTCAATCATTTGTTGTCATTTCGACAGTGTTCACAGCATCTTCACCAGGAGCGGATTCCATCTCAAGAAACCACTTTCTCGGCTGATACATAAGAAGCAACTTCTCATCCATTCAAGTTTTCTCGTGAGACTGCAGCAATTCAGTCCCATCTTCAGGCTCCACTTCTAATTCTAGTTCTCTTGTTGTTTCCACCACATCTGCAGTTCCTTCCCCCACTGAAGTCTGGAACTCCTCAAAGTCATCTGTGAGGGTTGGAATCAACTTCCAAACTCCCGTTAATGTTTCAGTTTTGACCCCCTCCCATGAGTCACGAACGTTCTTAATGGCATCTACAATGGTGAACCCTTTCCAGAAGGTTTTCAATTTACTTTGCCCAGATCCATCAGAGGAATCACCATCTATGGCAGCTATAGACTTATGAAATTTCTTTCTTTTTTCTTTTTTTTTTTTT